AGAAAAATTTACAGATGATATCAAATATCCTTTGCTTAGGAAAGTTAGAAATTATAAATGCGAGAATACAAAATTTATGCATAGCCTTAAATGCATGCTTTCATTTATGAACCCCACCTAAATGCCTCATTGGATAGCCAGTTACTTTTAAGTGAATTCAAACCGAGCTTGTTATTCTGTTATATCATAATTCTCTTCAGAAATATGAACAAAAGCAATTAAAAGTAAATTCCCCTCTTGTTTACATTGGCATTGGCTTCATGGACTATTTGGGTGTATGGTATGCGTACGTATATGCCTTTGTGTGCATTTTTACGTGCTTATGAAAAAGTGTCCCTTAATGGCAGAGAAATCCTTAAAAAAAAAGAAATAACATTGTATCCCATAAACACAAACGAGGACATAACCATCATACATGCCAAAAAAAAGAAGATAAACGCCTATCATAAAACTACAGTTTCAAATAGAGATCGAAAATTTCAAGTGAATCGAATCAGTTCTAATTGAAGCTATAATTATAGTTTTCGGTTTAACTCGATTCAGCGGCACTTTGCTTGGACTTGGACTGAAGAGGTAGCATTTTGACACAGTACTTGTTTTCTTTAAAATTTCCGATAACTATGTATATACATTCCAGTGGGATAAGTTTACTTGCGCATAAACTCCAATAATAGTATTTTTGCACAATTTAACTTCATCTCTAAAGGATTTGCCAACGATTCCTTTATACACCTACTAATTACATTCTTCGGTACATCATTGCTTCTTCATTGCGCTAAATTGGCAATATTCGCACTTAAGGGAAAGAAGTGCATAAGTGCTATTGCATATTTTGTGAGTAGTTTACACAACGATTCCATAATAAAAGTCCCTAAAAGAAGTAGAACAAAAAAATATTGTGGATGTACGATGTAGTTCTGATGACCACCCGAACTTGTCGGCTTAGTTCTTATTGTCTAGGCTTGCTGCTTTCGCTTTCTGAAGTGTCTTTGGAACAAACTGGAGCATTTTGACGTTTCTGGATACACAAGCAAACATAACGATTTGCATGGAATAACCTTTCTTTTTGTCTGCTTCTTTCTGGCCGTCACCATGTTACACTTGTGGGGGATATCCTCTAAGTGATTTACAATAATAATAGAAAAAAAAAAACTATAAAAAATATATATGAGTAATGTCGTTCGCCATTTATACATTCTTCAAATTTTTCTAACCAACATTTCTATACAAAACACGGCCATGCTTCCAAAAATATAAAGCTTAAGCTGATTTTCAATTGACAAGGAAACAATCTCATTATGTTTTGTTTTATTTTCTTTTCAAGAAGTATGCGAAAGATACTGAATATCGCACACGAATGATTTGGTGACAGCCCGACTTAATCGATTGGCATACGGGGCGCAGAGTTCAGTAAATATTTATGAAAAAGCACCTAAAAAATCATTTTCGAAAAATATTGACTTTGAACTTCATCTTTTAATTAACTTTTAAGAAATCTAATTGTTATAGATAATTAGACTCTGTACATTAGAAATCGTGAATCGTTGCAATTGCAACCTTAACTGAAGTCAGTGAAGTTCGGTTTCAAAGTAGTTGAAGTGCGTGATTACTTGATCAACTTTAAGTCGATGCAACGATAACAAAGCAGATGATTATAACGGAAGGCTTTTGAATTGATGAAGTTTATAGATTGTCAGAAATCTTTCTTTTAAGAACTGTGTTTGTAGACATACGCATATAGATTTCTTTTGAATACGAACATTTTCTCAGCGATTGTCGCCTATACATGCGCCACAGTGATGATCACACAGAACTGGGCAAAGAGATAATTGATGAATGAGGATTTTTCAAAACCTAGAGCAAATCACTTCAACCAAATTGAACAATTCGCGAACCACGATGTAATGAAGTGTCGTCTATGCACAAACGGTAAAAAGTTTCGATTTGAAGATGACTTGGAGAAACGCTACGAAAGATGTGATGAGCTTTGCTAAGGAAATATAAAGAAGAATATAAGTGTCTTAAACGTCTTTCCTTGCGGTTGCTGCTAATGTGAAAATTCTTCAATCAAGCGAATATGGTTAATAAATCTATTTAGAATTTTGAAAAAGTCTCTTTTGGCGATTGAGAAATAATTTTGGAATCTTGTATTAAAAATGGATCGCAAAATTTAGATATTACTTGAAGAAGAAAATAAGATAATTTTTCAAAAAATTCTGTTTAATGTTATTGCCTTCTTGAAACTTTTTAAATAATCTAACACGCTTTAACAGCCTAGCTGCGATAATCGAGATGATTGGATCCCCACCTCCTCGAATCAATAAATTTTTTCTTACTTCTTACTTTCCATAAAAGTCTCTCCTTTCAAGCTATTCTATGAAAACGTTTCTTAAAATTTAGGAGGAAGGTAAATTCACCGTTTTTCAGAACTGCCAGATTAAATAATAAATGTGGTTGCGTAGATTCTTTCTTTAGTCGGGAACCCTAAACCAAAGGCCCTTTTAAGTGTTAGAAAGTTTGGATGTGAGCTTATATATGTCGATGGCGGAGAATGAAGATGTGTGGAGGATTTTGTGTTTATGTAATTTAACGCAACAATAACGTAAAAATTTAATGCAACAGCACGGTTTAAATACGTCACTCTCCACTTAAAAGATTATTGTCTACTTAAACGATATAAACTGTGTTTTTTCTTTGCTACTACTCGCCTGGGTTATTCTGCTGCTTGTGGTCGATTCTGTTACTTAGTTACGCACACTTTGCCACATGGAGACGGGAAAAGGGAATTATTGTTGTCTCTGTTTAAATTGAAATTGAAATTCGATGATGCGCAAAAGATGAACAAGACGACAACAACACTCCTGATGTTGATGATGACGATTATGATGGCAACTGCGATGGTATGCCTGATTTATGTACGCGTTAAGAGAAGGATGTTATAAAATGCCACCGGATGTTAAAATGCTGCTCGCATCGTTGCCAAAGAAGCACTCATTCAGATACATTAAAGGATTTTTCACACATACACACACACACATTCTCACACGCATACGCCAACCCTGTTAAGAAGGCACCTTCAAAAAGACATATCGGAGAGACTAATGGCAAACAACAGCAATTGATTTTCTACTGCTAAGCCATCTCATTCATTCATTAATTCTGTTATTCATTCATGGTGTTCATCCAACAACAACAGAAACAATAGAAACAAGAGCAATAACGAGATACTTTAACACGATAACTCAACTTCCGGTACCGTTCCTTTATAAGTACACGTGCTGTTTGACTTTTATGATTATTGCAAACTTTTGCTTTTTCTTTGGCGCAGTTGGTTCATTAAAAGAGCGCGATGTTGATCTGTGTGCATGTGTGTGTGCGTATGTCTGTGTATATATGTGTGTGAGTGTATTCGCGTGTACCGATTACCAGTTGTACGAGTTTTTCATTTGCGTGTACATTTTACATTTTATAAGAACAAGTACAAGTAAAATTTATGTTACACACTTATGTATACACATTTGTATTTGACGAGCTTACCACCAATGTCCTTGGGCTTAACAGCTGTTACATTTCTTCTCTCATTCTCTGCGCCGTTTACTAATCCACTCAACCATCTATTCACCCATTCATTTCACCCTCTTAATGGACATAAACTCGTGCATTTGTGCACAAAATCCCCACAAACGCGTCAAATCATAATGCACGTGCTTTTCCCCTGGCTGCTCTCAAATGTTAACTAAGAAAATATTACATGTTCTCGAAACCAGGATTAATCATAATAATGAGTTTTTATGCCGCGTACTTAATTGGATTTGAATAGCATGTCTTAAAATGAAAAATACTGTAGTTTTAATTGTTTCATAATTCACTTGCGAGGATTGTTTTAAAAGCTTTCTCACCCTAACTTACTTTTGCATTAAAAATACAAACCACAGAGGAGGCGTCAATCCGAAGAAAAATAAAGTTGAAACGAATCAAAAGAAAGCATACTTGCAACAGTCAACGAATGTTTACAATAGTAAATAAAATTAATGTGACTTTCACGTAGTGAATAATATATTCCAAATAAGAAGGTAGTTGAGATCATATCGGAGATTTGAAAGTAATGTTAAGGGCTTCTCGTAGAATAAAGGTTGTGTGATTCTTGCTGAGCGTAGCCCTATTAACACAACGTAATGGAATTTCAACAGAAGCTGTTTGGTAAGGGTTTTTCCCGAGTTTTTCAACTCAACCAAACTTTCTTAATTCGAGCGCACAACAAAGAGATAAAAAGCAACTATTTTTCTCTAATGCAGAGCTCTTATGAAAATTAGATCGAATATCTGTTAATAACTAAACAATTTAATTTCTTAAATGTGCGTATTTTCTTTTTTTCCAGCAAAATACGCTACTAGCAATTAAGCCGGTATGTAAATTTGAAACCAGAATTTGCTCATAGGTGAACATAGCTATGCGTATTTACTGCGAAACCGGGAAATTGTTGAGCTCTCTTGTTGACGTGTGACGAAGAGTTTCAACTCATAACAATACAAATTTTTTACAAGAGCGTAGGTCCTAATAACATTGAAGATGTGCCGCCAGGTCGCTGGCAACATTTTTTTTTTCGAACATTGCTTAAAGAAGTCGTTTTTCCAGGCCAGCATTACCCTGAATGAAAAGTAAATTTGTTTTAAGTATCCTCGCCTAATGCAAGATTGTATCGTTACGCCAAGAGCACGACACTCTGCTCGACTGATGC